CTCCTCTTCCTCTTCCTCCAACCCACCTGGATTTGTCCACAACTGAAGTAAGTAAATTAGATGCAAATTAAAACATCGCAATAAAAAACAACAACCTGAAAACAACAAAGACCAGCCTCTTAGGCCTATTTTCATACACGCCACATATGGTATCTGTGGTACCATGGCCGTGACCTGTGGTAGCGGGAGGGTTCGGGATTTAATTTTGTTGTTGTTATTGTTATTGTTGTTGCTTTGTTGTTTTTGTGAATGTTGATGTTGTTGGTTCTGTTATTGTTGTCATTTTAATGTTGTTGGTTTTAGTATTGTTATTGTTATTGTTGATGTTGCTGGTTTTGTTATTGTTGTAAATGTTGGTTTTGTTATTATTTTTGTTGTTGCTGTTGCTGGTTTTGTTGTTATTATTACTATTGTGTTATTATTATTGCTATTGTTATCGTTTTTAGTTTTAGTTTTTGTTATTGTTGATGTTTTTTATCATTATTCACTAATGAATTTACGTTTGTGTATATATTTTGCGTGGCCAGATTCACGTCGACATGACCTGTTTGCTCATGGGAAGAAGATGGAGCCGTTCGTTTAAGTTTCAGGTGTCGGCGGGACTGCTGGGAGGAGGTGCGTGTCAAATCGGAGGATTCTGAAACCGATATAGATACGGGAATGACCCATGGTTGATTTATGAAAAAAAGAAAGGGGAAATGGTGGTAATAGGAAACCTCCTTGCTACGACGGGTCACTTGATTTGTTATCTTGATAGGCTGCGACGCGCCACTTAATAGTTATCTTGATAGGCTACGTCGCGCCACTTAATGGTTATCACGATAGACTATTTGATTTCTTTAGGAGAAAGTATAGATTATAAAGTGTAAAAAAAGGTGAAATGCTTAAATAGATGGTTTGATCCGTGAGGCAGGTAATCCGCGCTTTTGTGCTGAAAATTAACTGCTGTACATATATTTTCGTCTCTCTCTCTCTCTCTCTCTCTCTCTCTCTCTCTCTCTCTCTCTCTCTCTCTCTCTCTCTCTCTCTCTCTCTCTCTCTCTCTCTCTCTCTCTCTCCTCTCTCTCTCTCTACATATATACATACAAATTTAGAAAATACAGATGAAATATATATATATATATATATATATATATATATATATATATATATATATATATATATATATATATATATATATTATACAAACACAAACACACTTAGTTGCGAGAATTTAATTCGCAAGCTCCGTTGTGCACACTCAACCCTGCGGTAAGCAGAACTTGGCGATTTTGTGATGATGTATGTTGTTTATAAGATTAACAAAAAGGCATATAATAATATACACACGCACACGCATGTGCATATGTTCACGCACATAAACACTCACGTAAACACACAGAAAATAATGGTGATGATAAGAATAATTACACATAATCACACATATACCCTCACACGTAAACACATGGAAAATATAAACACCGCTTCTCTCTCATATATATATATATATATATATATATATATATATATATATATATATATATATATATATATATATATGTATATGTGTGTGTGTGTGTGTGTGTGTGTGTGTGTGTGTGTGTGTGTGTGTGTATTATAATGTGTGTGTTTTTGTTTGTGTGTATCCGTCTGTCTGTGTCTTTGTCTATGTGTGTATACATATATGTATGCATTTATGTACGAATGTATGTATGCTCGCGTGTGTGCAGACACACAACTCCCGCTCCTTTATCTCCGTCGAGGTCACGTGGCCAGAGCAGCACCGATGTCTGTCTCCCAAGTCCAAGATGCCACGCGTGTCGTCCGTCAGCTGTTCAACGACATCGCTTGCTTATCGCCTCGTTGCTCCGCCCGTGTCAGCTGGCTTATCAGCTGTTCCGCTCGCTCGTCAGCGTTGCTCGCCGGGCCCTTTAACAGGTCCGTCTGCCCCGTTATTTCGCTTATCTGTGGCTTTTGGAGATTGTTTCGAGATTGGTTGTTGGGTGGCGGGGCATGGGTGTCCTTTGAGGCTCAGGTTGTTTTGGGGTTGATTGTTGGGGCACGGGTGTCCTTCGAAGCTGAGGGTGCCTTTGGGTTGATTATTGATTTATGAATGTCCCTTGAAGCCAAGGTTGTTTTGATATGGGTTGTTGGTTCACGTGTGTCCTTCGAGGCTGATTTTTTTTTTGGGTTGATTGTTGATTAAAGCGAAGATTGTTTTGGGACTGATGATTGATTGTTGGTTGTTGATTTGCGAATGTCCTTTAAAGCTGAGGTTGTTTTTAGATAAGTTATTGGTCGTTGGTACAAGGGTGTCCTAAGCAGAGATCTTTTTGGTTGATTGTTGGTTGGTCATTTATGAATGTCTTTGAAGCCAAGATTGTTTTGATATTGATTGTTGGTCATTGTGCTTTGAGGCCGAGATTTGAGGTTGTTTTGGTTGATTGTTGGCTGTTGGGGGGGATCCTATTGAGTAGAGGTTGTTTTTGGCTTGATTGTTGGCTGTTGCGGATGGGTATCCTATTGAGTAGAGTTGTTTTTGCCTGTGGGCATGGGTATCCTAAGTAGAGGTTGTTTTTTGGGTTGATTGTTGCTGTTGGGGCATGGGTATCCCTTTGGGTTTGTAATGCCTATTAAGTAGAGGTTGTTTTTGGGTTGATTGTTGGTTGTTGGGGCATGGGTGTCCTATTAAGTTGAGGTTGTTTTTGGGTTGATTGTTGCTGTTGGGGGCATGGGTATTATTTGAGTAGAGGTTGTTTTTGGGTTGATTGTTGGCTGTTGGGCATGTATCCTATTGAGTAGAGGTTGTTTTTTGTTATTGTTGGCTGTTGGGGCATGGGTATCCTATTGAGTAGAGGTTGTTTTGGGTTGATTGTGGTGTTTATGGTGCAGAGAGGTTGGTTTTTGGGGTTGATTGTTGGTTGTTGGGGCATGGGCGTCCTATTAAGTAGAGGTTGATTTTTTTTTGGGGTTGGGATTGTTGGTTGGTGATTTATGTATGTCCTTTAAAGCGAGGATTGTTTTGAGATTGATGATTGATTGTTGGTGCATGGGTGTTCTTTGAAGCTGAGGTTGTTTTTCAGATTGAGTGTTGATTGTTGGTGCACGGATGCCATAACTAGAGTTTGTTTTTTTTAGATTAATTATTGGTTATTGGCGCATGGATGGCCTTCTAAGTAGAAATTGTTTTTTGGATTAATTGTGGAAGCAGAGGTTGTTTTTGGATTAATTGATAATTGTTGGGGCTCGGATGTCCTACTGAGCAGAGATTGTTTTTGGATTAATTGTTAATTTTTGATTTACGGATGTCCTCGTGTGCACCTTGTTTTAAGATTGATTATCAATCGTTGATTCACTGGTGTCTTCTTATGCAGAAATTTATTGTTATTGTGTTATTATTTACTTATTATTGTTGTTGTTGTTGTTGTTGTTATTATTGATTATTATTATTATTACTATTATTATTGTTATTATTTATTACTATTACTATTATTATTATTATTATTATTATTATTATTATTATTACTATTTTTTTTATTGATATTGTTATTTACTTTTGCTGATTCATGATTGTGGATTAGAAACAATTACTGCTTTTTGAGGATTTGAATGGATAAACATTAGTGTCTTCGCGGATCTTGAATTCAGAAAACAGGATTAAAAGAAAAAAAAAGTGTCTGAATATTCATCTGTTCTCATCCTCATTAGTCAAGATGTTGGCGATTTGATGGCGCGAAGACAGCGCTACGTTAAGGAAGAATTAAAGATTTTTAGTGGTTTTCAAAAGGTGTTTTTTTGGGGGGGAATGAAGCTGATTGGATTGAATCTGGAATTGTTATTGATCTTGTTGTTGGTACGTTTTTGTTATTATTGTTGTGTTTGTTATTATGTTATTATTGTTGTTAATGTTATTATTGTTGTTATTACCAGTGCTGTTGTTTTGTGGTTAACATTATTATTGTTATCGAAATTATATTTGTTATTATTTTTATCATTACACCACCACAGTCACCACCACTACCATTGTCTCTGCTCTTCTGAAACCCGCCCTTGTTATCAGTTGATTTATAACTTTGGGCTTATCTGTTGCTGGAGATTTACCTGTTGCGTGTATCACTGTTTTGGGGTTCTGGTGTAACTGCCCAGGATGTACCCCCCCCCTCCCCGTCCAAGATATACCCGGGGTTATTTTAGGCTAGTCTCTTTTATAGACGGGGGAATATGTTAGGTAGGTCAGTTGATTACCCCGGGTATAAAATGGTTAGGTTAGGATAAAACCTTTAGGCCCCTAGGCCAGGATATCTTCCTTATATACTTCCCTGGGCCGGAATATGCCCCCTTTATACCTCCTTAGGGATATACCTCCTTAGGCCAGGATATACCTCCTTAGGCCAGGATACCTCCTTAGGCCAGGATATACCTCCTTAGGCCGGATATACCTCCTTAGGCAGGATATACCTCCTTAGGCCAGGATATACCTCCTTAGGCCAGGATATACTCCCAGGATATACCTCCTTAGGCCAGGAGATACCTCCTTAGGCCAGAATATACCTCCCTTAGGCCAGGATATACCTCCTTAGGCAGGATATACCTCCTTAGGCCAGGATATACCCCCCTAGGCCAGGATATAGGCCAGGATATCCTAGGCCAGGATATAGGCCAGGATATACCCCTAGGCCAGATATTAGGCCAGGATATGCCCCCTAGGCCAGGGATATGCCCCCCTAGGCCAGGATATGCCCCCCTAGGCCAGGATATGCCCCCTAGGCCAGATATGCCCCCCATAGGCCAGGATATGCCCCCCTAGGCCAGGATATGCCCCCCTAGGCCAGGATATGCCCCCCTAGGCCAGGATATACCCCCCTGCCCCCCTAGGCCAGGATATGCCCCCCTAGGCCAGGATATGCCCCCTAGGCCAGGATATGCCCCCCTAGGCCAGGATATACCCCCCTAGGCCAGGATATGCCCCCCTAGGCCAGGATATGCCCCCCTAGGCCAGGATATGCCCCCCTAGGCCGGATATGCCCCCTAGGCCAGGATGCCCCCTAGGCCAGGATATGCCCCCCATAGGCCTGCCCCCCAGGATATGCCCCCCTAGGCCAGGATATGCCCCCCTAGGCCAGGATATGCCCCTAGCCAGGATATGCCCCCCTTAGGCCAGGATATGCCCCCTAGGCCAGGATATGCCCCCCCCCCCCTAGGCCAGGATATGCCCCCCTAGGCCAGGATATAGGCCAGGATATCCCCCTAGGCCAGGATATGCCCCCCTAGGCCAGGATATGCCCCCCGCCCCCCTAGGCCAGGATATGCCCCCTAGGCCAGGATATGCCCCCCTACCCCCCTAGGCCAGGATACCCCCCTAGGCCAGGATATGCCCCCCTAGGCCAGGATTATCCCCTAGGCCCCCCCTAGGGGCCAGGATATGCCCCCCTAGGCCAGGATATACCCCCTAGGCCAGGGATATCCCCTTAGGCAGGATATGCCCCCCTAGGCCAGGATATACCCCCTAGGCCAGGATATACCCCCCTAGGCCAGATATGCCCCTTAGGACAGGATATGCCCCCTAGGCCAGGAATATGCCCCCTAGCCAGGTACCCCCCTAGGCCAGGATATACCCCCTTAGGACAGGATATGCCCCCCTAGGCCAGGATATGCCCCCCTAGGCCAGGATATACCCCCCTAGGCCAGGATATACCCCCTTAGGACAGGATATGCCCCTAGGCCAGGATGTACCCCCCTAGGCCAGGATATACCCCCCTAGGCCAGGATACCTCCTTAGGACAGGATATGCCCCCCTAGGCCAGATGTACCCCCCTAGGCCAGGATATACCTCCTTAGGACAGGATATGCCCCCTAGGCAGGATGTACCCCCCTAGGCCAGATATACCCCCCTAGGCCAGAATATACCTCCTTAGGACAGGATATGCCCCCCTAGGCCAGGATGTACCCCTAGGCCAGGATATACCTCCTTGGACAGGATATGCCCCCTAGGCCAGGATGTACCCCCTAGGCCAGGATATTACCTCCTTAGGACAGGATATGCCCCCCTAGGCCAGGATGTACCCCCCTAGGCCAGGATATACCCCCCTAGGCCAGAATATACCTCCTTAGGACAGGATATGCCCCTAGGCCAGGATGTACCCCCTAGCCAGGATATACCTCCTTAGGACAGATATGCCCCCTAGGCCAGGATATACCCCCTTTGGCCAGGATATACTCCCCTTTCGCATGCAACAATTATATTACTTTATTGCCAGGAAATAATGGCTGGGGTTGAGGCCTATTATGCATTGATCTCGCAATTGCAGATATTCCTTTTGCTTTGTGGAATTAAATTACAGGCAGAATTAAATTGAATTACAGGCCACTATATTAAGATCAACATTGAAATATTTATTCGCAACTGTTAATGATTCTGCATACCGTCCTGGCTGCAATGTTTTGGAAATATGGCATGAACAATTTCGTGACTAATGACTAATCATCTTCAGCTGATGATGGTATTGGTCGTTTGTGAATTAGTTGATGATCTTCTGTTGATGATCTTCACAATAATGGTGCTGATATTTTGAATTAGTTGATGATCTTCGGTTTTATGTATTATATTATCATCATTATCATTATCATCATCATCATCATAATCATTATTTCCATATTCATTATAACCATCATCATCATCATACTCGATATCATTACCATTACTATTAAAATCATCATTATCATTGTTATTGTCATTAATATAATGATGGTGATGATGATAGTAACAATGATAATAACAATGATAATTAGATTTGATTTTATAAGTTCATTGCTTAAAATAATGATTAACAATGCTGATAACCATTATTTATAAAGTTATAATGATTACCATCATCATTATGATAATGATCATCATTATCCTCTTCATCTTCATCATCATAATTACCATTATCATCATAGGTATGATATAAGCATAATGCTAATGATAATTATTATCATTATTATTATTATTATTATTATTATTATTATTATTATTATTATTATTATTATCACTGTCATCATCATTATTATTGTTATTTCCAATTTTTTGTGGCCCGTGTGTTATTTTTATCATCATCATCATCGTTTTCATTATCATTATCGTCATTATCATTGTCATCATCGTAATGATGATATAGATAGTAATAATAAGAATAGCAATGGTAATAGAATAATAATGATAATAACAAGGATAATAATTATATTCGATAAATTTATGATATAATCATTATGATGATGATGATAATGATAATAATAGTAATCTTCATCATAAATATATTATCATAATGATTATGATATAATCATAATGCTAATCATTATTATTATCATTATTATTTCATTACCATTATTGTTGTGCTTATCATTACTATTATTATTATAATTATCATCATTATTATTATCATTATCATCATTACTGTTATCATTATCATCTTTATTAATATTATCATCATTATTGTTATCATTAATATCATTATCATCTTCATTATTATTACTAAGAGCATGTACTATCTGTTCATTTCAAAACAAAGATATCATTGTTACTATATTATCAGTATTGCTAATTAAGAAAGCTTTATTCTGATCAGTAAAAGGTGAATATTCAAACATTCAAAATAACAGTGAAATGTTCAGAATGTTATGTAAATATAAGGCTTGTATTGGCGTCGTTCATTAAAGACAAATGAAAATTAGTTTAAAATTTTTTTTTGTATATATTTAAGGTCAAACTCGTGACGTCTTTCTGTTCTCGTCCAAAAATAACAATATAAGTAAGCACGTGTGACGTTGCTTTTAACGAACCTCACAAATTGCACGTCTTATATTTGCAACATATTTCTGAGCACTTCATTGGGGTTTTGAATGTTGTTCGAATGTTCACTTGTTACTTTCTTGTCTCTGTTTTTTTTTTTATTCCTTCTTCACTCTTATGAGCCTCCTTCGCACTCTCAATTTTCTTTCTTCCTACGATGCTTCTCCTTCCGTAATAATGATAATTATGATGATCATGATCGCAATTATTAAGATTATCGTAACCATTATGAATATTTCACGTTTGTCTTTGATAAGGTGGCTTGTAGAATTCAATACCCAAAGAAGTCTGTTGTGAGAACGATGCATTGGCATTAACACGAGGCTATTATTATTGGGCTATAGAGATATATAGTTTGTTACATGCGGAAGCGAAGGGGTATATGCTGGTCCCGGGGGGTATATTCTGGCACAGGGGGGTATATTCTGGCCGGGGGGGTATTCTAGCCTAGCCCATTATATACCCGGGGTGTTATCAATTACTATCTTTATTGTTATTATTGTGTTATCAGCTGCTATCATTTTGGTATTATTGTGTTATCAATTGCTGTCATTATTGTTATTATTGTGTTATCAGTTGCTATTATTTTGGTATGATTGTGTTATTAATTGCTGTCATTATTGTTATTACTTATTATTATTATTATTGTGCTCTTATTTATTATCATTGTTATTTATAATTTGTATTTTTGGATGGTACTGGTATTGGGAAAATCAGATGTTTATAGAATGTTATTGGGTGGTGGTATTTTGGCACAAGAAAGGGTTAAGGAGACCGAATTGGCAGCGAGACTTGGGGAATAGATTATCACCTTATCTTTCAACACCACTTTTATCTTACCGTCTTATCTGTCAACACCACCTTTATCTTCCAATACCGTCTTATCTTCCAACACCACTTTTATCTTCCAACACCGTCTTTATCTTCCAACACCACTTTTATCTGTCAACACCACCTTTATCTTCCAACACCGTCTTATCTGTCAACACCACTTTATCTTTCAACACCGTCTTATCTGTCAGCACTGCACACCTTTATGTGGCCTTTATCTTTCAACACCGTCTTATCTGTCAGCACTCTTATCTTTCAGCACCGTCTTATCTGTCAACACCACCTTTATCTTTCAACACCGTCTTATCTGTCAGCACTGTCTTATCTTCAGTTCCACCTTTATCTTCAACACTGTCTTATCTGTCAACACCACCTTTATCTTTCAACACCGTCTTATCTGTCAGCACTGTCTTATCTTTCAGTTCCACTTTTATCTTTCAACACCGTCTTATCTGTCAACACCACCTTTATCTTTCAACACCGTCTTATCTGTCAGCACTGTCTTATCTTTCAGTTCCACCTTTATCTTCCAACACCGTCTTATCTGTCCCACCTTTATCTTTCAACACTATCTTATCTGTCAACACCACCTTTATCTTTCAACACCACTTTTATCTTCCAACACCACCATTTTCAACACCGTCTCTGTCAACACCACCTTTATCTTGCATATACACTGAATAGATACATATCTGTCGGTTAGAATGGATATCAACCGGGTAGTAGATATATGTGAGAGTATATCTATCAGAAGAGGGGTAGATAAGTATAGATTTTAGGGTCATATGTTACAAGATAGGGAGAGAGAGAGGGTGAGGGTGAGGGTGAGGGGGAGGAGAGGGGAGAGGGAGAGGGAAGGGAGAGGGAGAGGAGAGGGAGGGAGAGGGAGAGAGGGTGAGGGTGAGGTGAGGGTGAGAGAGTGAGGGTGAGGGAGAGGAGAGGGAGAGGGAGAGGGAGAGGGAGAGGGGAGAGAGAGAGAGAGAGAGAGAGAGAGAGAGAGAGAGAGAGAGAGAGAGAGAGAGAGAGAGAGAGAGAGAGAGAGAAGAGAGAGAGAGAGGAGAGAGAGGGGGGTGACGTATGAATGACTGGGTCGGGCCTGAATCTGAATTTTCTATTCATAACCTGTTCTCCTTCCTCAGACGCATAAACATCCTTCATTTGATCTAACCACTCTTTGTCCTTAACCCTTTCTTTGTTCATCAATACCTATCCTACCCTATTTACCCTCTCTTTCTGTACCATTCACTACTATACTATCTTACTATCACTTTAGTTCTATTTCACTACTATACTATCTTACCATCACTTTAGTTCTAACAAATCTTACTATCACTTTAGTTCTAACAAATCTTACTATCACTTTAGTTCTAACAAATCTTACTATCTTTAGTTCTAACAATCTTACTATCACTTAGTTCTAACAAATCTTACTATCACTTTAGTTCTAACAATCTTACTATCACTTTAGTTCTAACAAATCTTACTATCTTTAGTTCTAACAAATCTTACTATCACTTTAGTTCTAAAAATCTTACTATCACTTTAGTTCTAACAAGTCTTACTATCACTTTAGTACAAACTTTAGTTCTAACAAATCTTACTATCACTTTAGTTCTAACAAATCTTACTATCACTTTAGTTCTAACAAATCTTACTATCACTTTAGTTCTAACAAATCTTACTATCACTTTAGTTCTAACAATCTTACTATCACTTTAGTTCTAACAAATCTTACTATCACTTTAGTTCTAACAAACTATCAAATCTACTATCACTTTAGTTCTAACAAATCTACTATCACTTTAGTTCTAACAAATCTTACTATCACTTTAGTTCTAACAAGCTATCACTTTAGTTCTACAAATCTTACTATCACTTTAGTTCTAACAATCTTACACTTTAGTTCTAACAAATCTTACTATCACTCTAACAAATCTTACTATCACTTTAGTTCTAACAAATCTTACTATCACTTTATTCTAACAATCTACTATCACTTAGTTCTAACAAATCTTACTATCACTTTAGTTCAACTTAGTTCTAACAAATCTTACTATCACTTTAGTTCTAACAAATCTTACTATCACTTTAGTCATTTAGTTCTAACAAATCTTACTATCACTTTAGTTCTAACAAATCTTACTATCACTTTACTACAAATCTTACTATCACTTTATTCTATCAATCTTACTATCACTTAGACAAATCTTACTATCACTTTAGTTCTAACAAATCTTACTATCACTTTTCTAACAAATCTTACTATCACTTTTAGTTCTAACAAATCTTACTATCACTTTAGTTCTTCTTACTATCACTTAGTTCTAACAAATCTTACTATCACTTTAGTTCTAACAAATCTTACTATCACTTTAGTTCTAAAAAATCTTACTATCACTTTAGTTCTAACAAATCTTACTATCACTTTAGTTCTAACAAATTACTATCACTTTAGTTCTAACAAGTTCTTACTATCACTTTAGTTCTAACAAATCTTACTATCACTTTAGTTCTAACAAATCTTACTATCACTTTACTAACAAGTCTTACTATCACTTAGTTCACTCAAGTTCTAACAAATCTTACTATCACTTTAGTTCTAACATTTAGTTCTAACAAGTATAACAAATCTTACTATCACTTTAGTTCTAACAAGTCTTACTATCACTTTAGTTCTAACAAATCTTACTATCACTTTAGTTCTAACAAGTCTTACTATCACTTTAGTTCTAACAAATCTTACTATCACTTTAGTTCTAACAAATCTTACTATCACTTTAGTTCTAACAATCTTACTATCACTTTAGTTTCAACAAATCTTACTATCACTTTAGTTCTAAATCTTACTATCACTTTAGTCTTCTTACTATCACTTTAGTTCAAACATCTTACTATCACTTTAGTTCTAAACAAGTCTTACTACTCACTTTAGTTCTAACAAGTCTTACTATCCCTTTAGTTCCTAACAAATCTTACTATCACTTTAGTTCTAACAATCTAACACAAATCTTCTATCACTTAGTTCTAACAAATCTACCTAAACCTAACCTTAGTTTCTAACAAATCTTACTATCACTTCTAGTCATTCTATCATTTAGTTTAAACAGTTTCTACATCCTTTAGTTCTAACAAATCTTACTATCACTTTAGTTCTAACAAAT